CTCTCTCTCTCTCTCTCTCTCTCTCTCTTTCTGTCTCTCTCTCTCTCTCTCTCTCTGCCTGCCGCCTGCAGGATTTAAATCTCTCAGCTACTGCTCCAGTGCCATGCCTGCCACCATGCCCTCCCCCCACCCCCAGCCCCTGCCATGATGATCATGGACTAACCTCTGAAACTGTCAGCCAGCCCCCAGCCCCAGTTAAAATGCATTCTTTTATAAGAGTTGCCTTGGTCATGGTGTCTCTTCACAGCAATAGAACCGTGACTAAGACATGAGCCGCCATGCCAGGCAAGGTTTTATTTTAAATTGTGTGTTTGTGTCTCTGTGTAGGTTATGTGTGTGTACGTGTGGGTACCGGAGGAGGCCATAGGAAAGCTGAAATACAGTACAGGCTCTCGCTGTAGCCCAAGTTGGCCTTGAACTACATTCCTTTCTTAGCCTCTCAAGGGCTTGGATGACAGGCATATGGCACTGTGACTCTGCTGAGGGCTATAGCCACCTGACCTCCGGCTGACTGGGCTGGAGGCAGTACTGGGGATGTAGAGGAAGCTATCTCCCCCTTGCCTTTCTTAGCAGCTGCGCTGGAGCCCATCCTTCCAGACTCCCTCTGGACCATATTTCAGGAGGGCCAGGAGAGAAGGAGGCAATCTGTGGACAGAGCATCCTGGGAAGGGAGGAGAAGCAGGGGGCCATCGAAGGGCCTCAGGATGCTTCTGCTGTGTGGCCATGTGATCCCAGCACTATAAATGTCCCTACATTGACAGTGCACTGTGCTCCATAGGGTAAAACAGCTCTGGAGAGGGAAAAGCTTTGGGCTTTAGGTTCTGACAAGCCTGAGATTTTATTTATTTATTTATTATTTCTGAGCTGTGCGACTTGGGTTAGATGCTTGCCCTCTCTGAGCCTCCCCTTGCTTTCCCGTTGATACTCAGGACGCTAGAGCAGACTGCTTAGAGTGTGGAGGGAAATAGGCCTTGCTGGGCACCTGAAGAAAGCAGACAGTTTATGTAGACTAGTGTGTAGACTAGCCTGGGCACAGGAGGCAGGATGAGGACCCTAGGCACGGCGGGAGGACTTTCCTCACACTCTTACACAGAGCAGAGTCCTAGTTCACGGCCCCACGGTGGTGGCCAGCCTGTTTCCTCACACCCTTTCTTTGGGGCTCTATCTCTGTTGATCTGCCCACTGCTTCCTCTAAAGCCCCCACACGAGAGGTGTGAAGTCCTGAGGACTCATCTGTGTGACCCTGAGTGTGGGGTCCTGATTGGTTCTCCTCTGCTCCAGGCTGGCTCCGCCCCAATGTGGGCCACCTACCCAGACAGAAGGAGGCAGCAGGGCCTGCAAGGCATGGGCTGGCCCAGCCCAGACTCCTCTAGCCAGCCCTGGTCAGGAGCCAGCAAAGGTGGGAGAAGGACTTGGGGAACAGAGAGATCCTGAGAGAAGGTACCAGCCTAGGGCCGGGGGTATGAGGGGTCCCAGCTGGGGTGGGGAGGGGCTGTCCTAGGCTGGGGCAGGACAGGAAATCGGCATCAGGTGTTGATTTCTCGCTCATTGTCCCTGGCCCCCGGTATATGACTAGGACTCAAATCAGTCTCTTTCTTTCTCCATCTTCTCTTCCTTCATTTCTTCCTCCTCCGTCTATTCTTCTTCCTCTTCTCCTCCTTCTTGTCTCCCCCCCTGCATTGCCCTGGGTCTCCCCACCTTCCCAGGCCTTATCCCCACTCTTTAATCCCCTGCTCCCGCCCACTGTCCCTGGACACCCCTGTCCCTTTCCCATGCCCCGGGATCTCACCTTGTGTCCATTTGCCCTGCAGGATGCTACAGCTGAGCCTGTCCTGGCTGGGCCTGGGGCCTGCAACAGCTTCCCTGTGGCTGTTCCTACCCCTGGCGGGGGCCTCCTGCCTCCTGGCTTACCTCCTGAGCCAGGCTTACGCTGTCTACGAAATCTCCCACCGCCTTCGCTGTTTCCCTCAGCCCCCCAAACGAAACTGGCTCTTGGGTCACCTGGGCCTGGTGAGTGTGGCAGGGTGGTGGGATTTCAGGGTGGAAGGAATCGCGAGGAGCCTGGAATGGGGACGGGGATGGGCTGAATGACATCGCTCCAAAGAAAAGGTTCTGAGCCTTTCCCACCCGGAACAGGTTTCTCTGCATCCATCTCCAGCTGAGTTCCACACAGACGGCCATGCTGCAGGGCTCCCAGCATGGGCTCCACAGACTGAGGACCTTGGTGTTCTCGGGCTGTCTGTGCTGGGCTGGAAGCCTCGTGAGGGGAGATCAGGGCCAGTCCTCTGCCTCTATTATATCTTTTCATCTCTGGTCTCCCACTGGTCACAGAAATGAGCTGCAACCCACCGAGGCACACCCAGGGGCGTAGCTGGGTCAGGGGAGCTCTGGGGTCTGATTGCCCACTTCCTTCAGCCTCTTCCGCTTATGTCTGGCTTCTCAACTGAGATGTACCAACGAGCCCTGTTGCTCAATCTAGATATGAGCTGGCCGCTCGCTTCCCCTTTCGGACGCCTTCCCAGCACCCATCCTTCATGCGACACCTTGAACGTTGACTTAGATCTGTTTTTCCCTCTGGGTGATTTGGTGGCATTTGTTTTTCCTTGTAAGTGGCATGGTTGCCAGGGGTGCAGGGGTGCAGCTGGACCACACACAGGCTGTTCTGCCAGGGCCTGGTGTCCGCAGGTGACAGGTGAGAGCTGCCACCCTGATGGAGACCTAGGGGACACCCCTGCTCCCTTGGGGGGTCTGTCAAGGCTTCCTCGCAGGAGGAACCAGAGGCTACGTGGGTGGCAAGCTAACTTTTCCCGAGTAGATGTGAACAAGTGTTTACCCCGAGGAGGCGCCCGAGCAGCAAGCCCACCAGCGCCCAGCTCTGTGAGAACAATGGGTTTATCGGGTGTTTTCACAGAGGAGAGTGGTTACTTATAGGATCATGGGTGACCCCCCAAACAGCTCTGTCATTGTAAGATCCCAACCACCCTGGGTGACAACTTCATAGAAGCTGCACCGTAGAGTCTTAAAAACCCTCCTTTTCTGGTACACCCTAGCGTATCCTAAGATCACTTGCTGCTGGAGGAGAGAGTCATAGCTGGAGTACCAGAAAAGGGTCTCCCCTGGAGTCTACTAACTCCATCACCATTACCATTGGCCTGGCTACTACTCCAGTGTTCTGCCATGGTTGCCATGACTACCAGGAAATGCCGAAAATGACATCCTGTTAGGCCTGGAGGGGAAAGTGCCACATAAAAATGGGCCACCTCGACCACGGAGGGACATGGGATACCTTGGGGACAAGTCCTGAGACCACACTTCCACCCACCGTCTCCCCGTGTGAGTTCCCCCTTGTGGTGGCTTCTGATGCTGGGACTGCTCCCAGGGTGAGAAAATCCACATTCCAAAGCCAAGGTGGACATCGTGGTGTTGAGAGGCTTGAGGAAACGAGGACTAACTTCTGCTCGTCCAGGATGAGGCTTTGACGTCTTGTGTGTTTCCACTTTCAGACCCCTTTGGAGTCCCCTGAGCACCCCCAACCCCAGCTCCCCAGAGGGAATGTTAGAGAAAATTGTTACACAACATATGCTTGCTGGATGCCCAAGTGCCCAGCTGACGACACTCGTCTGAAGGTTCTGGAAGCTTCAGGAGGCAGGGTGGAGTTGGAAGACATAGATCATTAGGGACAGCTTCTTGGGGGTTTCTTGTCCTCTGTCCTTTCTTATCTCTTTTTGCTCCCTGTCCATGTGAGGTGAAGAACTCCCCTACCATAGGCTCCTGTCGCCATGAGGTGAAACATTGAGTGGGTGGCCCGAGCAGCCATGGACTAAACACTCTGAAACCTCGAGCAAGGAAAGGCCTTCCTCCTGTCGCCTGTTCTTTCAGGGGCTCTGCTCACAGGCTCATAAAAATAACTAACACAGAGATTAGTGGGTGGGTCTGGAGGAACTCAAAAGCCCAGAATCCGGTGAGAATTCAGACAGTAATGACTGAACTTATGAGGTATTGACTGTGTCCATGAGGTAACGACTGAGTCCATGAGGTAATGACTGTGCTCATGAGGTAATGACTGTGCTCATGAGGTAACGACTGTGTCCATGAGGTAATGACTGTGTCCATGAGGTAATGATTGTGTCCATGAGGTAATGACTGTGTCCATGAGGTAATGA